GAAATATTCCCCACCTAATTTTCTCCTATTTGTTATTAAATAATTATATTCTTTAAATAAAAATAAATAATAAAAACACACATAACAAACTAAAATGACATTTTTACTAAATATTGAAGTTGTTGCTAATGAGTCCTCTTAAATGCTAAAATATTGACATTTTGAAAAATTTCCCTTCTACATATTCCAAATATATGGGCCTGAATTGAGCAAAAAATACACAAATAGTCATGTAAGAAGTTTTTAAACCGAGGAAGCAATACAAAACACATTATTTTTGGTGTTTATTATCCGTTGATCATATTTTCTACAAGAAAAACATTATTTTGAATACATGTATATGACATGTCAAATATATACATCTCAAATAAATGTGAGTCAAATTAGGCATAATTTATTTTAGATACATTTTATTTCATGTGTGATACACTCTCACTCGCCTCTCTCCCTTTCTTGTTGACCTCTCTTCCTTGCTCGCCGGACTCTCTAGTCTCTCACTTTTCTGTGTATCAATACCTATATTTCGTTACGTATATGAGTTTCATTAAATTTTTAAAATATCAGTGCATCCAATATCAATTGCATGTATTTACGTAATGATAATTAATTTATCTTGTGTATTCAATATCAATATTATTAGTGTATCTGGTATCAAATATTTAGTGTATTCACACATAAATACATGTATATCAAGTATCAAAATCTACGTTGATACATTCATTGATGTATACACAGTAACAAAGTCAGAATTTTGACTAAAAGGTGTCAAAATATAAAAAAGTGAAATTGCATAAAATCAAAAAGAGACAATATGCGATATATATATATATATATACACACACATACAAATTTTATTTTTTTATCTAACTACGCGACAAAAGGGTGTCAATCTATACCCTCAGATGTATGTTGCTCCGCCACTATATCTATCTATCTATCTATAAAAAAAAAAGGGAGAGACGGAGCGGGAGGTAAATTTTTAAAAATTAAATATGTTTTAAACAGGTAGCCAAATGGATCGTGAATAAGGACCCAAAGTCCGACTGACATTCGGCCCCAAGTTTCAAATTGCATTTCGGCGGTGAAGTTTACAGCCATTCGACGGTGAAGTTTACAGCCCTCGGCGGCGAGGTTCCGGTGAAATCGACTTGTAAGTTTCTTCATCCTCTCCTCAATTTGACTAAATCCCTAATTTGCATTCCTATTTTGCGCATTTTGTATTCGATTTTTTGTTGCTGATTATCTGAAACCCTATAGCGCAGAACTGCATGATTAAGTAGGGAATATTAATGTTATAAGCTATGAAGTGATTATCAGATGTTGTAAATCTCAGTACAAATTCCTTTATTTGTTATAATTATTGATTTAATCTTAGTTGTTAGATTGTCAGTTGCTAAAGAGTTGAATTTTTTCGTCTACTGCATTCGTCACCTCCTTGCTAGGTATTGGGTGGTCTCTATTGCTCGTATTTATTCGTTAACTGATGGTTTAGCCAATTTAGCCTTTAGTCTGGAGTCTCGCGATGAATGACATTCATACGTGCCTTTTAGTATTTCTTCGCGTGTTGTAGGAGATGTTGTTGGTGTCTCATTCTCTATCTTAGTTTAGGACTAGTTACTTGATGTTTTAGTTCTCTTTTATGGAAAAATTAGTTGAATTTTATTTGTTAAACTAAAGGAAAATTTGTTTCGTGCGAAGAAATCAAGGTCTAGGGAAGGGGAAAATCGGTGAATGAAACAATATTAGTGAAGGCAATGGAGGCTAATACCAGGAATAGTCCAAGGAAAAAGCTTGCTGATATCAGTAACTTACCGTTGCGAAAGAGATTGTCTAGACAAGATAAGACTCCAGAACATATCCCAGCTGCTTCGAAAGAGTATCTAGAAAGGATCCAGAAGGTACACTTTGTGTTTGTTTAGTGGTTTATTGTGTTAAATATATTGACTTAGCTTTAGTTTAGCTTAATTTGCTTTATTGGAAATTTTGATCCAGGAAAATATGGCGTTGATGAAGATGTTAGCCGAAAGGAAGTATCCTTTAATTGCAGATGAATGACACTTACTTTTCCAGTTGTCGAATAGTTTTGGGTCAATTTTGTACGTTATAATGGTACTAGTGCCTCTTTTCTTGCGATTTGTTGTTCGGTTCCTTGATTCTTTCTCTATAGCAAGATTATTGAAATAACTGGGGTAGAGATGCAGAAACTGAGAATTAATGTGCGGAAAATGCAACAACAAAATCAGCTGCTTGCTCAAGCAAACACTAAAATGCTTGCGGTTTGTTATCTCTTCCATTTCTGAGCCCGTCAAAGTTTTCATTTGTTATCTGAACATTTGATCTCCTTTCATGGTGCTAAAACTATTTTTTTTTCCCTTCTGTTTCCGCCAGGAATTAAATTCAAATAAAGATAGGGTAAGCATCCGATGCTTTTATCTGATATTCTTTTGATGTTAAATTTCCCCATAAGCTTATGTAAATGGTATTTTGGCTGATATCAGGTCAAAACATTACAACATGAGCTTGGATGCATAAAGGGCGTACTTAATGTTAGAAAGTCTGAAGCAGAAGTGAGTACAGTTTAGAGATCTTCAAATTAGTTCTGCATCTTTGTCTAATTATTGATTGTTGGCATCTCTAATATGTTAATCACACTATCTTGTTGTAGTTATTGTTTCTCTTTTCAGAATGCTTTGTCATGCTTTCTACTAGTATTTTGCCATGATTTCTTCATTTCCCTTTTATTTTTTCTATCTGCTTTGATATGTTTTCCTTTGAGCCGAGGATCTATTGGAAACAGTCTCTCTACAAGGTGGAGTTAAGGTCTGCGTACACTCTACTATCCCCAGACTCCACTTGTGGGAATACACTGGGTGTACTGTTGTAGAAAACTGTCAATTCTTTCTGTTTGTCTGAGGAAGTTTTCTTGTTCAATTAGGAGCAATTGAGAACAAATATGTGCCAAGATCTGAATGATGAGGTACATAAGTCGATTTTGGTAATCCCATAATGTCGTAGAGTCGGTTTTAATATACTCTTTTGCTGTCAATATTCATAAGGTGAAACCCATGAAGTGTGAGGAGGCAGGAGATCTATCATTAAGAAAAGGAGACACCGAGAAAGCCAGAAATCTCAAAAAGAGAGCCCAGTCAAAGAGTGAGTGTAACCTCTTGGTGTGATATGATATTTATTGTCAATAAGTATTTAGGAGCTATTGTTTTTATATGATGTATAGGCATGGGTTCTTCTGAGCAAGTTCAATGTGAGGATAAGACGGCAAATAAAAGGTTAGGCTGTGCATGTTAACTTGAAGAGTAAAGTGGTGGTTTATCTAAAGTTCAGATTCTAAACATTTATAAGAGAATTTTCCTAACAAATTTGTTGTCTTTACAGATCATGCGTAAGGAGGCAGTCTGCTAGGTTTAAACCTGAGGCGCTGAAACTCAGTGAAGATTCTTTCGAGGTACAAGATAATTGTGCTCTGCATTCATTAAGTGATCCAGTGCAAGAAAATGGTTCGGCATCCGTATGCAAGTCATCCGATGATGTACACCCTTCTTCGAGGTTTGAACCTACACCCTTCGGAAGAGCATCTCTGGGTAGGCCATCAAGGGAGGCAGCTAAGAGAGTTCAGTCCTACAGGGAAATTCCTGTGAATATAAAAATGCGAAGACCGCAATGAACAACCTGCAGTTTATGTTTACCTTTTTGATATTGGAGCAGGTGTTGAATGGTAAGATCCTCCATTGAACTTTTTCTCAGGTTTAGTTTTATAATATTTTGTTGAAATTTGTATGACTAATTCTATCTCTGCCCCTTCAAAGTTATATTCCCCATCCACCAAGAATTTCATCGCTTATGTGTTTCTGGAGTAAATGTTTTTTTTTAAAAAAAATTCTGCATGTACAATCTTGATTAGATGCTTCTTTTATGGGTGATTGATGATTTAATGCTTTTGGACTGATGACTGCATCTGGCGTACTTGCCACAGTAATCTAATGTCTTTTATACTGTCCATATGTTGGTTCAATAGAGGGATTTGCTCTTCATTTTATTTGCTCGTAGAGTACAGAAGATTTAGAATTTGACATAGGAAGGAAGTTGGCAGTTTCTTTGGTAATAGGTGATAATTTTGTTGAAGTAAATGCATAGAGTTGTGTTGACCATGGCTGCTCTATATACTTAGAATTCAGGTAGATTTAATCATTGATGATAACCTACGTGTATGAATTGTAGATGCATGCTTGGGGTGGGGGGTGGGGGGATGAGTTTGCAGATGTAAATGCAAATAAAAATCAAGCAGATATATATTATATGAATGATTAAGTGTAATGATACCTTGACAAGAAGAATTTAAGAAAAGTTATTACAAATATGTTCTTTCTTATTCCATTTCATGTTACAGGTTTCAGTTTGTGATTTCGAATTTCATTATTTTTACCACTGAACTGTTGTTTTGTATATTCTGGACTGTAATCAATCACTATGAAGATATATTGTTTTATGTAATTTCTATGTTCTATCATCTTGTTTTCTCTAAACTTCAATGCATTTGCCTTGTAAAAGTAGTTTATTTGACTTAAAACTACCATGAAACTGTTTGTATGTGGTGAAAATAGATACTTAAATTAACACTTACTAAATGACATTTCATAGTTTTCACCTTTCTGAAGTATCCAGACCCCATGTAGTCATCGATAAAAGTAGAAACAACAAAAAAAAAGGTCGCACATGATATAGCACATCGAGTTTTCATTAATATTCATCCTTGCTCCATGCTTCGCAAAGCCATCGGCCACTCCATTTGCATTCTCTGAATGCGTGCATGGTGAATGCTGCCGCAGTTTATGCATCAAGTACCTGCTGTTATCAATTAAATGAGAGTAGCAATTGTTTCCTTGCTGCAACATGTTAATGATTTCCTTAGAATCTGTTTCTATATATTGCAAGTTGAAAAAGGTTATAAACCCTGATTAGTCCAACATGAAAGGCTCGTAGTTCAACAAGCATGTTGTGTTTGTATAATCCAGTTACATTGTTGCCAATATATGCATCTAATTGATTTTTTGCTGTAGCCATTCTGAAATTCACTCATTGTATTGACACAGAATCCCAGATATCTCGAGTACATTCAGTCTGAATCCATTGGCATGATGGGAGTTTACCTCGTTGTCAAGGAGGACATGGTTAGTTGTTACTTTCACCATTGCTCAGAATTCTTTAGTAAGCTTACATCGCAACCTAAGGATTGTGTGCACTTCTGAAAGGAGCTAGCTCACTATCAGGACCGACGGATATAAGCAATTAGTGATATGTTATGTAGTTTTTCGAAAAACTAGAAAGGTACCGCTGTGAACAGTCTCCCTCTTTGACAAGAAGTTGGGTGAACACAAATCATAGTAAAATCATCTGACTATGTTGAGGTAAACTTAGGTTATTGTGCAGTTTTTCGTTTTAGTTGTGCAAGTGGTGTATCGACTATTTTCTGAAAATGGTCTTTGGGTAAATTTTTTGCTTCAGAGTATGATGCTTATGTTACACCCAACCCTTTCGCAATGAGACTCTTTTCGTAACTATGTGAACGCAGGATATATCGTGCATTAGACTATCCTCTTTTTATGTGGTGAGCATTGTGATGCTATAACAAGTTCTAGTTGTGGAATGAGCCACTAATGTTTGCATCATAAGATGCTTACAATGCACCTTTTTAGAATGAGGATGCAACCTCCTTTTGAACCTTGTGAACGCGATGCGGTGAGTGTTGTGATGCTATAGAATACATGTTCGAGTCGTGGGATCAATCATTAATGTTTTCATCTAAGTAAGATGTTTACATTGCACCCTCTCAGAACGAGGATGCAACCCTTTTCTGAACTCCGAACATGGGATACATTTTGTACTGAATTGTCATTTTTTGTGCGGTGAGTGTTTTGCTGCTTAAATTACACCCTTTACAAGGATGTGACCCTTATTTGAAATTTTTAAACGAAAAATGCATTGTGTATCAGACTGTTCTCTTTGTGTGTGACGAGTGTTATGGTTGACTAACCACACACAAATCTTCAAGTCTTATTTAATTTTTTTTTTAAAAAAACATAAATAAACGAATCGAGATGAGTTTGTATCATACAAAAAAATAATGCAAACCAATATCTTTTTCATTTCATTTTCAAAATCCTTAGGTGTATAATTCTTCCTCTAGCTGACTTAAATAAATAAAAAAATATTCTTTCTTTGACAATTTAAATGTTTAGATAAAAAATTCATAATATTCAACATGTTATCCGAGGAGGCAAGTGTTCTTTATATTTATCGTACATTTGAGTCTCACCATTATTCATAAGTGAATATATTAAAAGTACTTTACTTTTTAAAATAGTTTAAGTTCTTAGATGAAACGATATACGTAATTTAAACTTTTCTATGTTCCAATTTTGATTTAATAAAATATCACTAATCTTTCATCTACGTTAGTTGATAGCGACAAATTGAAACAATTTAAAAAATTAATTAGAAGTTCAGGGACAGATAAAGACTACTAATTATGATTTATGGCCAATATGGGAAGTACTATTCAAAACGGTGATATAGAACCTTTGAAAAGTTTTAAAATATCACAAATCACGAGACAAAATTTATTTCACGAGGGTCTTTCAGAAATAATTTCTCATCTTTATAAGTAGGAATGAGAAAGTGTTCATCCGAATCTCTCATCAAGAAATTACACTGTAATATAGAGTAATATTTTTATGTACATAGATAGATTTCGAATCTCCTAACACAAGATTATCGATTGACTCCGTTGTTCACCCGATTCAAAATTCATCTATTTTTATTTTTCGAACCTTTTCTATAAAAATTATGACTAAAGTATTTATAAGATAAGAATAAAATATGCGTACATCGTATCCTTCCAAGATACGATTTATGAGATTACATTAAATATAATATTTTCCTTTGTTGTAAATCATAAGACAAAATTGACAGGCAAAAAATAGGAAGAAAAAAAAACCTTCTAGTATTATAGGAAAATAACAAAAATTTCACATGCAACTCACAAATGTGAAGTTGAAAAAGGAAGAAAAAGACTTTTATTTTTTTTTAATTTCACTTTATCATCCATCATTTTCTTATACAGTTCACTAAAACCGTGTTTTGGCACGAACTTATATTAAAAAATATAATTAGTGAAAGGATGACTTTTTTATTTTCCTGCTATTTGTTGAATAAAATAATGAAAATAAAATCTTTATGATATAAAAAAAAGTCTTATCCAAAAACGGTGCATGGATTTGTTAATTTATAGTAACGTGAAAATAGACTGGATATCACTATGGATATTACGACAAAAAAAAAGAATTGTAATTGATTTTGGATCAATGACATCTCTTGAAATACGATAAGATTTAACAAAATTAAATTCAAAATTTATAATTTATGAGTAATTACGTACTAAGAAATCTTAATTAATATCTAATAATAACTTATTTAATGAATTTATATTCAAAATTTGATCCCATAAGTTTCTATTAATAATTTCAACTCAAACTATATATGCCAAAAGGTTAAAATATGAATGTATACATACATTATATTCGAATTTATCGACTTTAGATCTTAAATTCACTTTTATACATAATTGTGATCAATACAAGCAAAAATCTTAACTTGAGGTACTTTATTGCAATTTTTTGGAAATTCATATATTTCAACTAAAATTCAAAATGGTGGAAAAGTTGTAGTTTAATTAAGTTTCCCGCCATTAAAACGAGAAAATGAACATTAGTGAGTCAAGTGGTGTCTTATCAAGAATTGACATTTAAAAGTATATAAATCATCGTTTATTGGTGGAATATATATAATAATTTCGAAATAAAATATGAGTTATTTTAATCTATATTTTGATTGTGGATACGAAGTAGTTTTGAATTATTTTATCTCATTATTTGTACTAAAATAATGAAATTAATTATCTGATCTAAAACATAGGATAATTCACATGAAATATCTTTGTATATTTCATACACCAACAGAGGCGGACCTATCTTTATTAGTGCACTTGTTAATTTTGAAAAAAATCACGAGTATATATCCTTTTTTCAGAAAATTATGTTGTATTTGTATGTCAAATTTTACATTTAAAGGATATATATTTACAGTTGGATACTCTTGATAAAAGTTAGGTCTTTGACGTAGTAATAATGGAGGTCTATTTAAATGAAGAAGTTCCGAGTTGGAACCTCAAATAGCACAATATTTTTGTAATACATTTTTGAACCATAGTAATTTTCTAAAATATTGTTTTTTTATTTACTAGTATAAAAAATAGAGTCGCTAAAATTACATACCCCCAATATCAATAAGTAATATGACGAAATTATATATTTTTTACACCATAATATATATATATATATATTCCTCAATTGTTCCGAATTCGAATTCTAACAAAATTTCATTATACGACAATAAAATAATTTCATGATTTTAAAAGGATTAATAAAAAAAGAATAAGGAGAGACATATTATAATGATCCATCGTCAATGATTATAATAGAGTAATAAGTATTCCTTCTATTTTAATATGAGGTTTTTGATTCAAATCATATCATAAGTATGTAGAAACACCTTTATAAGGAGTGACTTATTCTAATAATTAAATCTTATCGTAAATTTACATTGATCGAATTTTAAAAAAGTTATCAACAGACAAAAAAAATACCTAACATAATATGAAAAATCAAAAAACCAGTATTCATTATGACTCAACTGAAATGGCCGTTAGTGGTTAGAAAAGGCCATTGAAGTATTATTTTTTTAAGGTTGTCACTAATTATGTTAATGGATTAGTTCTCATAAATATGAGACTTACAATTTTAACATCATATATTTGTAATTATTTTGTCTCACCCACTAGTTTTTATCCCATCAATTATATATCCATTTATTTATTTTAAATTTAAATTAACTCTACTATGAATAAAATGGATTTTAAAAATAATACTAATTTATATCAAGTGGAGTTAGTTATATGGTTAGTGGAAGGCAAAAAAATTGTTAATTATATGATTAGGTTTAAGTACTACATCATTTTCCCTCCATTACATTAATTGAATTTTTTAGGATTTTGTCTCATGTTTTGTAAATATTCATTATGAGAAACAAAGGCAAGTTCAGGACATATATAGTTTGTGGTTTACAACGATCACAAATTAATATACACAATAATTGAATTTTTAATTAAAAAAAATTGTAAATATTTTATTCTCGCCAAGTTGTCATTTCAAATTATTTGTCATGATTTTTTTTTCACGAGAAAAACATTAATTGTTAGAAGGAGGATTAACTATTTAATTTTATCCTTCATTCGTATTTAATTTCAATAATCATAATATCACGATTGAAGTTGATTCTTTCCTCTTGTGCCGAGATCTTAGCGGGATCTTTCATCATAATCGATCACATAAGTTACACTCAATCAGTAAGAAAAGGAAATGAAATAAAGAATTCAACTTTTCAGCCTCCTACATGTTGCTTTATTCCCTCCGCCTTACCCAGACTTAAAAAATATCTAAGATAGATAAATGATTTATTTTCAAAAAGAATTTTATTTGTTGTAGCTTTTAGATAGCCTATTTAATCTGTGCTTAATCTCAAATCTCTCGATCGTGTAGGCATATATCACTAGGAGATGTCTGTTTGACGTGGCGAAGACCTATGCTAGAAGTAAGAAAAAAATAGGCTGAAGTCACGAAGTCACTTAGTAGAACTAAAATACTACAATGAAAATGTAGGCTAAGGTTACTCATAATTGATGCGTTTGTAGTCTTCGAGAACTTCAACTATTAAGGGTAAAATGCAAAAAAAAATAAAAATCTTAAACTTCTAAAAGATTAAATATAATTTGAAATATATAATTTTATATATAATTTGAGACAAAGGCAGTAACAAATTTCTTCATATATATATATATATAAAATATGCGTAAAATTATTGAGTTCATATAGATCCACGAATCCCGTGACATTGATGAGTGATAAAGAGAAGGTATAAGCCAATAGGAAGTCGACACGTGTGAGGGGTTAATGCATAATATCAATTATTGTGCGTGAGAGATAATGTTGTATAATTGTGATACAATTTTATGAAGTAAAAAGAAAAATTGTAAAAATCATGTTGGCTTAGTGTGCAACTTCACCTTCATGTGTTTTTTATTATTTTTTTCTTTTTGGGTGCATTTTTATTTAATTATCTTCTGTAGATTCATGAGAAAATGAGTGAAATTTGACTTTCAAGACACTCCAAAATTACTTATTATTTCATTGAAAATTGCATGCCATTTATAGATAAGCTGAATTTAAAGTGATCATTTCCTCCCTAAAGGTCAACTGATTTTGTGATCTCTTACACAATCATTTTTAGTTTTATGTCCGAAAAAATCGACAAATTTTCATTTTTATACGTAAGATCTTTTTAAAATAATATTTCTTCTATTCAGATTATCATTTTCTCCTTAATAATATACATATATACTATTTTAACATGTCGAGTCACTAATT